AATGGATGTACTGCGTGATTCCACAGTCCGGAAACTACCGAGTGCATAGTTAAGCGGTGGCTCATGTGCACTTTATCTAGCGAAACTGGGTTATTTGTAAAGCGGGATTATAACTTACGTACCCATTCAGCCCACCCCCTCCCGTTGAAGCGTCAGTTTATCTGGCGGGAAGTCAACCGTTTTGTTTTGACCTTTCGCATAGGTCACGAATTCGGTAGTAAGGTTTTATGATACGTGTGTCTGTGTGTGTATGCAGGGTTGGTTACGGTGAAGCTAGACTACGAATAAAGGTCAAACGTTTTGGGACACAAGTTGGGTTTGCTGAAATCATGANAATCATGAAGCAGCGAGTGACCATGGAGGAGTTGGAACATAATGTAAAAATGCTTGTGGCCTCAAACCGATAGCGTTCAGTTTTCAAATTTGCTGGAACATCCAACACGTGCTGTCTCTTCGTTCCTTTCACTCAATGACGGTTGGTAAATTGGCCAACCTTAGCGGAGACAGAAAAATGGATGAGGCATAACGAGTTCCAAAACAAGGTCAGACAAAACATGGCTAATTTCACGTGACCAGTTTCAAGGGTGTATGAGGAACAAGGACAAGTCAAACGATCCAAGAGTAGAACGAAATATTATCAGAGAACAATGGCGTGATTAGGGCTGTGATTAGTAAACTGGGATACTAGACCAGTTATTCGAACTGCACAATTTCAATAAAACTGAAAGCAAGACCATCGTGAATTCAAAGTGTCAATCATTAGTACTCTCCGGGGTAGCCTTCAATAGCGTGTCACACGTCAACAAAGTATGATATGGCGTTCATTCGTCGGTGCCATCAATCGCAATAAATTCCACAATAGACAACCATCGAATGGTCGGTGCACAGCTTTCACTAGGATTCTATCTAATTCGACCGAGCAATAAACTGACACTCATTGAGGATATATCTGTTCAACTGAAGCAGTTTCGGAGAGATCTATTTATATGATTTCCACGGAAAGTTCAGCTCCTTTCACAGTTGAAAATCACGAGAACACTCAACGTTTCTGTTGATCAACGAAATTATTTACTGTTCTCTTTTTCACCAAAGCTTCACACCGGTATTATTCGCTTCATTTCATATGCATCGATTCAGTACACCTTTAGGTTCGGCTGCGTGATCAGATGTACGAATATAAGTCATGCGTTTGGCAGTCATTCAAACGAGGTCACCAAACACTACCTGAAATTTGCATCCTATTTGCAATTATTTTTCAGTAATCTGTCTCTGTCACTTACTTCTTATATGTATTGATAAAATCCAAATAATGCTTCGGTGTTACGTAGGTCGGACGTCTGAATTTTTGTGCAAATTCGGACGAGTACTGATGAACACTCATATGCGTGGCCACAATCTGGTCTGTGATAGCTTCCCGATGTGATTCCGGGACCAGACGATATTCCGCGGATACAAAAACACGAACCACCGCGTACAGGGCTTGTTCCGGCCACGGGAAGAACCAGTCAATTGTGGTATTGTTAACAACCCCGGGGAAATTGCGACATCGTGTCCGGAGTGTATCACCGACCTGTCGAAGTGGAGAGCGAAATCAAATTTATCAATACCATCGTTCAAATCCATTTAGTCATTTGGTATTCAGTTTGATAACTTTAATCTTAAAATATGCATAGTACTTATCTTTTCTATTCATTTTGACTAATTGCACTACACAACTGTGCTGTGGAAGAAAAAAGGACATTTTCGTGTTTGAACATGTGGTTATGACAAATAAACTTGGCGTTATTCTGCATTTCAAAGTTTTATTCAAACTTGAGGAAAAATAAATGTTGAAGCGCTTCAGTCACCCATCTGTGCTAAAGGGTTCATCGAACTTGTGCAGAGCCCCCGGCGTCAGGTACCACTCAGATTTTCTGACTTCAAATTTTTATAATCACCATCCTTCTTGTGTTATTCGTTTTGATCTTCGGGCAAGTGGAATCAGCCAAATTTCTCAAGTATGCTGATCACCTTGTCCATCTGGGGAGGCGCTCGTGATTCTCTAGGGTTAGTGTTCTTTGGTCACCACATACTGCAGCTTTTAATGAGGATCGTGAACGTTTTGATAAAGCAGTTTGGGGCGAATATTACGACAACTTAGGACGGGAAATTGTGGAGTTACTCAAAAATGATTCGTAAAAAAAACACGGCCGGGGGCAGCTTAGCGTTAGAAAAGATCAACAGATCATTTAGTCCCACAGTTAGCTGAAAAGCTATCAGAACACCACGAGTTTGGTTTAAAAAGTAACAGTAATTCGGTCTTTGTGATTATTGATATTACTAGCGGTCAACTTTGCTTCAGCGTTACGAAACGAAAGTTTATTTGTCATATGACTTCCCACCCCCACCCCTATGGACGCCATCGTCCCCTAGCAAGGTTGATCGCAAAACCCCTCTTGCAATAAACTCACCACTGCCTACGCAACATTACACGAATCTGGAGGGACAGCCGGACGAGCAATGCTGAGGTCAGGTGCAAAGTTTTAGGCAACCGCGGCCCCCCATTGGAGCAATGGGTCGACCTCCATAGATTACGCTGGTTGGGACATGTGCTACGCATGTCACCAGATAGGTTGCCACGGCGAGCGATGTTCGCCGAGGCAGGTGGTGGATGGAAAAAAAGCCAAGGGTGGTCAATCTATGACTTGGCATGAGGGTATGAAAACCCTAACCAGGAGTTTGAGTCACATAGGTCCCGTTAGGCTCCCTTGCTGGGGACCTCGGGATGATGGTCATCGATGGTTAGAGACACTGAGTCACATGGCTGGATGTCTTAAACAGTGACGTTCTTGCATGTTCTCAATTTCTTTGCATCATTAGTCCACTGAAATTCTCAGTTTTATCTTCGATCCTACTTTCAACCTTCCTGTTTTCTTCCTATTGTTCACCCAAATGGGCAGCCATAAGACAGCAATCAAAAGCGACGCATAGAAGTGCATGCTTAATGGTTGTTTAACCTGAAACTGAAACTGATAAGTAAATTGGGAAACTGATTGGAAGAATATTTATGGATATTTTCCTATAGTGACTACCAATTGGAATGCCACGAAAAAATATTTTACAAAATATTGTTGTTGCGTGCAAATAGAAAATGATCAAATCAAAAAATCCAAAAAATTCTCAAACATAAGGATTCTGATTGAGGACACAGTGAATGCTTCGTAGATGATTGTACTGGTCCCGTATTAAGTAGTGTGACTGTGTGACTGTTTCATTGATATCTTGAATAATTTTATCATAAATTCCATATAAAATCCGAGAGGAAAATGAGCACTATGAACCATCGCTCATCACACGAACCAAATATATAGCCTAATCAAATCACGTTCAGCTTTAACTATGAAAAACAAAACTTGCCGGACTCATACACAGCACCAGATGCAAATTTCCAGACGCTTTCTGAATGAAATACTGCCAAACAGATTCACGTGCAGTGGCGTAGCCAGATGCGACGGCCTCATCACGCAATTCGGTTACAATGGATTCTCGCTCGTCGTCAGCAAACAGGGCAGGAACCATTCCAGCAGTGAGTAAATTGTTAATAAGTTCCAGAAAGCCTGCCAAAGAAGAATAAGCGAATAAATAACATGATGTGACTGGTCTTGACGTTGCGCATAGAATAGGGTTTCTTTCCTCTCCTATATAACGCTGCAGTTTTACCTGACAGCAAGATGATTCGAATCCAGTTCGCATTAACCTGTTGTGATTGTCATACCTTAGCCTTAACTCAACCGGATTACTTTGTGTGGTCTCCATAGGACTGTGATTTCGAGTTCATAGTCCGACCTCAGAAAAGTGCATTTTTGAGAAACAAGTCCATAAAATCCCGTAACTGTCATGAAATTTATGGTGTATTTCGACGGCCCTCGTTACATTATTTCAATAGCAGTTGGATAACTATAGAGATTTTTCACTTCGTTCTGGATATCTGGAAAAACTGGACATTTTGATTGTTCAGCATTTGAAGGGTGGAATTTTTGTTGATGGCGATAACACTGAGATAGAATATCATCTGCAAGCGTCACACGAACTGTATGCGAATCCTACCAACGTGGATGCATACGTACATCGGTCGAGCGTGATCTTTTGGTGTCTTTTTGCAGCCGCTTGAGTTAAAGCTCATGAATAGTAACATCCTGCGTCAGACGTAAGCAATGGCTCACGCGTTGACCGCGCTTGTCCGTTGCTGCCCCCGTAAAATGGCCTGATATGACTCTTTAGGGGGAGGGGACATACATAAACACATACGCACACGCACGTGCGTGATCGTGCTAGCAATCAAGATACTGTTCGATTTCTTGATCGTTTCACATTGTCTTATCCCTCTCACCGGTGACCTTAAACGATTAAATTCCCTCTGACCCTCTCTGCGTTCTGATTGGATCATTTTCCGCGATTTGCGGCATTTGGAATCCCTCACCCCAACACGAGACTGTCTGCGACCGAGGCACGTGGCACAATCATCACCACCGCTTCAGCAGGAGGTTGAAAGGTCTATGTATAATACACACTATTTATCCGGTCATCACTGGGATGTTTGAAAAGTGCATGATCCTGGTAACTCCGATGTGGTCAACAGGATAGCATGAAATGTTGCTCAGACAACTTTATTTACAAAAGTTATAATTAACAACTAATCACTCCTGGCGTCATCCACCTAATTACGCAACTCACCTTCTTCCACTACATGCTGATCGGAGAACAGGAACACCGTGGCTTTATTCTCCAACCCCAATCGCATGAACAGAGTTTTGAGCTCGTCGCGAAACTCCCGTTCACCATAGCCCCGACACAAATGAATTTCGAACAATTCATAACCGGCCGCATACGCGGCCAAACGTGTCAGACTAGTTTTGCCCGATCCGCCGACCCCGACCAGTAATGCATGGCCGCCGTGCATCCGAATCACACGCTCGATCCGTGTCAGATGGGACAGGGCATCGTCGAACAAGACCATTAGCATAGAACCGATGGTCTCATTGTAGCTTTCCAATATCTTTATTCAAGGACAGAGAGAGAAAATCCAATCATGTGGTCTGAAGCTTTGTTAAAATATATAGTGTCCCGGTGGTTAGTTACATTGAAACAGGCCTGTGCATCATTCAGGCAGACAAGATATAATCAGGTCAGCATAATAGAACGAGAAACATTGATTACATGCTATCTGATAGTGTGGATGCTTGGAGAAAATACGGGAGAGAGTCCCTCGTGAATAAATATATGATTTCATACAGTAAAAATCTTAAACGGTTCATGTTATTTGTGTGAGTGTATCGGTGCGTATTGTATGAGATGCTTAAATGTTGCATGCCTGACTTCGAGGATGTCACTTCATTGACTGGAGATTCAGGGCGATCTCATCATGCCCGTCGTTACTAACTCACTCAACGCAGAATGACATACTGCTGCTAATACAAGACTGAAAATTTCAATTGAATGCATGGACTTGTTTCGAGTGGAAACCCGTGATATAAATATCCGCCAAATTCCATTGTTGGTGATTTGAGTCATATAATATATTTATTATGACCCAGTAGTATCCTCATTGTCTTGACGTGTTCATATTCAGATATCTGCTGTCAAAGGACGATGAGTCATAACAGATACCTCGATTGAAAACTCGTTTTCAAAGTGAATTATGTTTAGGAGACATTACTGGTTGGGATATACATTTAGCGCTTGGAACAATCGCTTACTGTATTTCGTTCACGATCGTGCTTCTTATTTCAGAATGCAGACGACGCCATGAAACTCAGTAGATTGCATAAAAATGTGTGGTGGGTCCAGTAAATCATCCTTTAATGTGGGACTCTCTGGCAGATTCATTGTAGCGAAGTGTCGCTTGTTTCATCACTCCATGTCCCATGGTTGATGTGCTGGTCACATTCATTGCACAGGAGACGTTTTAATCCACTATTACTCATTCTATGGTGAGTACAATGAAGATTGTTGTTGATTTCCTCGGGTTATCAAATGACAATGTTATTGATGCAAACTGTCAACCCGTTTGACTGATGTACCTACTGTTACTGTCTTTGCATTTACATATCTGTCTATTTGAATGTTTTAAATTCCAGAATATGCCCATTATAAGATGAAAACACGAATTAACTTCGTGTTCTCACATTTGTCCGTCATGTCTTTCCTAAGCGCCTGTACTTTCTTACGTTCCACCATACTCTGCCTTTATTTGTGGTTTCTGTCTACGAGCTAGGTAAGCGATTGGTTCAGATAGCGAACGTGACCGCAGCTGTGGACTCAGCCCTGTACGATCATTGTGTCAGTTAACGTCCATACACACATCACCACTCAGCTTCTGATACCTCATTGGTCGATTGTTTGCACGGGCACCAGTTGCTCATATGTCCTCTGCCCCCTGCCTAGTCTTCCGCGTGTGGTACAGGGTGCCAATTTCAAAGTTTGAACTCCACGTCACTCATCGCCACTCTCCCATTTCTGAATTTCTGATTTCTGTGTTATCCCTTCTTTATTTACATGTTTCGTTTACAATTACGCTTCTGTCAGTCCCTGCTGTTCCATTCTGCCCACTACAGTTGTTTTTTAACAATCGATCGAATGTTCCAGTACATTTTGTTAAAATGTCTCTGTTTAGTACCATCTATGAACAACTATTCGTTAACTGCCTGCCTACATTCTCACTACTCATTGCTCATTGGTGAAGAAAAATTGTACCCGTCGATATCTTTTAACTGTCGTTGTGATTTGATTGCGTCCGATCGTGTTGCCCAATATACCATAGCGTCTAAAGCGTGTTCGGATTCTAAAATAGGGATTTACAGCTATTCAAAGATGATGACAACGATGATAGCAAATCGTAAACGGTGATTTTACCACGCCCCCCCCCCTCCGAGTAGCAAGCCGGATATTTTGGCTAGGCACGTGTTCACAATTAAACAGTGAAATCTGTCTGTTGAGAACAAGGGTTTCAAAATATTTTCAAATGAAATGGTTTTCTTCACTTCGGTTTCAATAGCCCCAGTTCCGCGTGTCAGTCAAATTTCCCGCTCGATAGATTTCCATGGGCTGCATTTATAATGTTAAAAGTATTTATACAAGAATGAATGCGGGGGAATGACCTTTTTCACAATCTACGGGCAGTTAGTTCAACTGGGGATGCTGGCATGTTTTAATCACAAATCTCCCAAAAAGGGGCTTGCCAACTGAGCACATTGTTTTGATGGGCTGACGATATCTACAATGTGTAGCGATCCACGGAGGTGAACTTCGTTTGATGAGGTTAATCGCAATTGGTAGGTTGTCAGACTGATTACAAGTGTCCGCCAAAACACGAAGGGCACGGATCGATTGTTCAAGCTCAACTGAGTTTATTTCGTGTCTTGGTCGCAGAAGAATGGCCTTATGTGTAATCTCGATAAATGACTAATAAAATACAAATATTACTTTTTAACATAATGATTGACAGAAATTAAACAGGTTTCGATGGCAACCATCTGCAGTGAAAATTTGAAAATCAACCAACCTCAGCTACTTACTTCTTGACAAATCGATCGACAGTTCTCGAAATCCAGTAGGTCCTCATATACTCTCACTTCACTCTCATCCAATGCGTTTCGATAGTCGCCAAACAGCAAAGGTTCGTTGCAGGCGTACTCCATACACTTTCTACAGTGCTCAGTCATCAAATCATTTACAAATTTCTAAAAAGAAAAGGAAAGCACAGAAATTGCTTTTATAGGGGCGGTGGTGGTGGTATGAGGAATCATATGATTTATTGATATCGGGCCGCCACACACTAGCTCTTATTTCATGAGTTCATCAGAATCCCAATCAGAAAATGTCGTTTGCTGAGTTTTATCGTGGTATGTGCTGGCCATATTGGTTTGCATATTTTACTATTAGGGGGAGGGAGGAGATTGTGATTAGCATCGCCATTACACAGAATAGCTTATCAATAACAATAACAATGAATTCCAAATGGGAACTCCTCGTGTATATAGCAAAGGAAGCGTGAACTGAAAAGCTAGGAAGCACTGGACAGCTTCATTTGCTATATACACGACGAATTCCCATTTGAAATTTAGTCAAATCCTCCATTACTCACATGAAATAATATTGAAAGCTACCGTCTAGACCAGTTGCTTTCTGCAACTGGAAGTCCAATACCTAGTACATGCTCCAAATCCTTATAGGACATTGCTTTCATATTGTGTTCACATAAATAACGACATCCGTCTTGGAAATTTGCGCCACTTTGAGGTGATTCAAATGTAATCTAAGGTAATTTGGAGGAAAACCAAAGCCCCTGTTGTCATGAATCAAGTCATAATTTGGCGGGAATTTGTTCAATTATTTGGGGGAAGATTTTTTTATTACACACTTTCGTGTGATGAATGATCACGAGGACCTGCTGTTCAGTGATGGAAACCGGTAACCTAATCCCTGGGACTTGGAGTGGTAAACCACATAAGGCCCCGATAGGTTGGGTGTGGTATTGAACCGGACGACAGCAGAGTCGTCACCAAAGTCGGGTGGCGGTGGCGGGGTTCAAACTTCGGACCATGGGGTCTAAAGCACGCCGGTGACAGCGACTAAACCACTGCGCCACCACCACAAGCTAACCGGTTATCAGATTGAGCGAAATCAGAAGATGCGATTGAAACCCACAGGATTGTTTACGACCATTTCTCTCACTCACCCTGACCGTCTGTTGATCGGCGTCACAGATCAGTCGATCCATGATTACCCGATTCACTTCATGCAGCCACAAACGAACCAATTGTTCTTTTCGACCGAACCGATCCACAGTCATCAGGCACAAACCACTGTAGATACGACTCAGATCACGCATGTTGAAGATGTAGTGGAATTTGGCCGGTGTTGGGGGTAGTTGAACCGTGACAAAACTATATTGATGGATGGATGGAATAGCGGGAATTATCATTTTTGTCTTCATTTAGTGTGAGATGAATTATCACAGTAAAAACTGTAAATTTGTAGGAACTTAAGAACTCTTAGAAAGCATACATATTGTGTTGCGTCCTCGATAAGCTTTCTTGAACAATGAACACTCCTACACCATGATTCAAACTAGAAACCCCACGATATTCATATGCACAACTTAATCCTGCACTTCTGTGTGCTGATTTGGGTTGCTCAATCGATCGTCAATGAAATATGAGGTATACTTGAAAGAAAATATTAGAGAGGCACCAAGGTAAACATGTGAAATTCGGGCAAAACGGGATATGATTACAATTTGATTCAATGCAAAAATATGAAATATTTTCATGAGATATTACTTTATTTTCAGTTGCTCTATTTTTCTCGTAGTTTCTCCGTTGGTATGGGACCACCAATATAAATGTAAGACATTTATCATGTAACAAGGTAACCATCATCTTATGATGTTCTTCTACCCGTCTCTATTGTGGTAGACAGAAAGAGGAAACACCCATTTGTATTTTTATAGGCGGTTGCATTTCGGTTACTGTCAAGGATTGCCAATTGACCCAACTCAACCATGAAAAACGCATCTTGTAACATATCCAATCGCTTGTCCTTGGGTTGCCAGTAGAATAGGGTTCCGTTCCTACCCTATAAAATGCCAGAACTATAGGTTATTCGATCCTGCCAGGATGAAATTTTTATCGTCACCATTTATGTCATTCCCAGTTTCTGCCGCTTCTTTTCTTCAGGCTCTTGAAAACTGGCAGCCACTTGGTGACGTCAAACTGTCTATCGCATACTTATATATCGTATGCTCATACTCTACCGTTTCAATCGCATTGTTTTTTCTTTCCGCGTAAATTGACCAAAATGGTCCGAGATAGCGAAATGTGGTCCGTGAAAGAACCCTTGATTTCCTTCAAATCGTTGTCCCCAGACAAGCCTCCCCCTCCGGAACGGTTGATCGTTGCTCAGTCGAGATCGACAAGGAGATAGGGCGTCAGAAAGTGTCATATTTGTCTGACACGTGCTGCTGTTTGTATGGTGGAACTTCAGTGAAGTGATTCAGTTGAAGCCTCCGATACGACAGTAAAGACAGGTGGCGACTAGGAACCGCAAGTTGACAGTGCAGCAAATCGAACTCTGTCTACTGAGAATATGACGGACAAGTAAAATTTTGCTATACAGCACAAAAACAAACGATGAGAAAGTTAAGAATGCCGGTGAAACGGAAACCAATTGCGCTTTCGAAAGTGGAGGAAGTGGAGCACAAGCATCATATTGGAGGTTGTGTCGGCGACTCTGGATCAGCGAACCCATCACACCCACACCCATATTCAAATCTGTTGAAAAGCGAAGTTACTCCCTAGATGGTGAAAATCATGTAGAATACGGATAAAGAGGATTCCAATGAACATGTTTCAGGAGATAACTGCCAACAGGTGTGAGTATCAAAGTAAACCCGATAGATGGCACGAGGACAATAGCCGTACACCACTGAGTCGTCACAAATCAAACTCCTGGTCAGATCTTCAAAAGTCATGCAATAAACCAACCAAAATTTTCGACCGGAGGCAGATTCGTTCAACTTTTCGGAAAAAGGACGTCATTGCTCGATGTATGCAGAGTTCATTTTCGCCGGGAGGAGTGTTGTGAGAGACCACTCACATTTGTGAGTAGTACGCATAAGGATGCGGTTGGCGGTTTCTTTCAACAGTCAAAAATGAACAAAACCTCTTAGCGCAAATTGCTATTTTCTAGACGATAACTGCAGCCTGTTCCATTCATTATCATGTGTGCTCCCAGGAATTGTGATGACAGGTTCAAAATGAGATATCTTGTTATATTTACGCCAAGTTATCCATACCCTGACTCTGGTTTCTAATAAACAATTCTCTTCAAGCCAGCACCGGTCTTCTGGAATTATAACAGGATTTTTGATGCGGATGCATAGCGTATCAAACAGCGGTCTGTCACTACCTATTTATTATGTAATCGTGATATAGAGATTCATGCAACAGTTTACAGCTTTACTGTTCATAGGTTTATGGTGTCTACGGACTCCCGGACCGTAATACCTTAGTGAAAAAATGGTAGGGTCATTGTAACCTTAATAGTGATTGACTATCAAATTGACGGTAGATTATCAAGACTGCTTCAAAGAAATACTTTATAAGACAAACCCTGAAGAAATTACGTGAAAAGTACTAGACAATTTCATGAGAAAGTTCGTCCCGCCTATATGTGTTAGCAACCACTTACTTAAAAAGTTTAATCGTCATGTTCGTGATCATTTGGGATGATTCACGAATGGAAGCATCAAAATCTGTGGTGTGTCCGGCCAAAAGCGAATCGTATATCAAACGCAGCGTGTCCTCTGACGGAACGGATACATTCAGCACAGAAAACAGTGAGATAAAACGTGGATCCACCTCGTTCCGACCACCGTCCGGTCTGCCCATCGAAGCCAGATAACCAATATCTTGCATGCGTTTCCAGTTCAAATCCTTTCCACGATCGTAGACACCTTTCCTCTCCACTAACAATTTGAGCAAAGCGATTGGTTGTTGTGTCCCGTACGTGTCCACCTGAGGCATGTTCATATCATCAATAAAAATGAGCAATCGTTTCCCGGAAACCGGTCCGTATGAATCTTTGCTCCGTTTCTCCACATTGGCTTCCAGATTCCGTTGCACGTCCAGGGATGTGGTACGGAACGAGAAATTCATTGTTAAAATTAGCTGCCATAGGAAAGAGGTAAAAATACAGTTAGATAGTTGTTTATATACTCGACACAATCCGACAATGAACAAACGATGAACTTGGGAAGGAAGTATCTGGACCAAATTAAAGAGGTCCGATAAAATTGTCGAGGGCCAGGAGATGACAGTTCTTTCTAATAGATCACGCAGTTAATGTTGAGATCCGGATACATCATTGATAATTCATAAAATAGAAAAATTGACCACACAACGGTATTTTCATGCTTTTTTCTGTGATGGCGATGCATCAAGTCTGCCTGGACGAATCCTCCGATCACGAACAAAACAAATCTCTCTCAGACCGTTTAAAATCAACATTCTATAATTTGGAAGCTGAAATTATATGGCTATTCGAATTATTTACTCCGATTTGTTTTTATCCGTTTCTTTGGAGTGCTAGATCGTATTTTACTGTTATTTCTTAAAGTACTGATGCATCTTTCCACCAACTTCAAGGCCATCTGAACGACATTTTTAGTTACTCTCTACCCCGATCACTCATGCTTACTGTTTCCAAATGTTTGACGTTCAATTCAGCCTTAAATCTGACTCCCGTTATCAAACTATCTTTAATGATTTTCCGGACCTCGTCGTTAACGGCCACAGTGTTCTCAAAGCTGGCTCTGTTAAATACCTCGGGGTCGTTCTATCGCACAATCTCTGTTGGACTAGACATGTAGAGAACGTTTACAATGGGTTTGGTAAACTTTCATTTTATGCTTTCAGGTTTAGGAAGTTTGCTGTTCTCTCAAACGTAATTTTCAAATTCGTGGTAGCATGCATCCCCCCTCATTGGCTGTAATGTTCCCCTGTATTTTTTCCCGGTTCATATTAATTTCTTTCCATATTCCATTCCATATTAATTTCCAGATCCATAAAACTCCTATCCCGATGTTATGGCATAGCCAAAGATGTCCTGGTTGATCTTATTGTGTGCAAACATCGACGCTTGTGAAAGAATAGCCGATAGAATCTTGAACAGCGAAGATCACTGCTTGCACAACGAACTTTTCAAATCCATATCAAGTCCCCGCATCCGCTCCCACTATAAGCTGTTTCTCGCACACACCGTCACATACAGCAACAGCATCCTCACTTTTCTTGCTCGCTTTTTAGTGAATCGGGCACCAATTATGACAGGTTTGGTGGAACACCTCATGTATTAGTTTATTTATTCATTTTAATCCATCACTATCTTCTTCTTGCTTGCAGTTTGCTGTCGTTTTCGTTTAACCTATTCCCACTCTGATGCGCCTCCCCCCTCCCACCAATTCCACGGCATTACCGTGAAAAATCGCTAAAAATTCACCCTTCGGGTGCATAAAGCTTACTTTGAATTGACTTGACTACAGCTAATTTGCTCCTCTGATTCATGACCGTTAGGTAAACAAAAACCTGTGGGAACTTTCATGTGAACGGTCAGTGCAGTGAAGGGAAGCACATGTAGAATTTGATGTGAATTGGATATGACAGCGCCTTTCAACATCCGTTTTCATATTCTATAAAATCCCATTGATGATGTATCAGGGTGTTAACATGGACAAACACATTCAATCATTCGTCAAAATGAATGAACCACCTCGGTGTTCCCGATCAGATGTTTCGTTGTCCAAGCAGACAGATAGGTGGACACGGTTCGGTACGCAACTTGAATGAAGGATCTCAAAAATGTATCTATTTGATCTAGAGATGGAGTTTAGCTTCAATTCTACTCGAATGATTCTTCACACGCCTAAAATGTGTACACATCAGCAGTGAAAAGGCAGTCGAAATCAAATTCACTGTAGTATCTGATCCCAGTGCCAGTTTGTGCTCCGGGTGAACACCGAAAGGGTGGAGGGAGAAAACACTGTAATGAGCTATTTCAATAGCAAGAACGCCTAATAAGCGGACAGTCAATTGTGGTCACATTCGTTGATAGACCAGAGAGAAAGAAAGCATCGGAAAGAGCTTCACATATGTTCCACGTTTCCATTTCATAAGCATCCAATTCATTTAGTCATCTCTCGTGGTTTATTCTGGGGACTTTCAGGGTGTAATTTTATCTCCATTGTTCTTTCTCCGTACACAAGTAACTCGCCCTTCCATTTCAGTTTTATCATGTATAAGTACGATTATGATGTGGTAACTGGGTGTTCCTTTAAAGTTTCCATCACTTTCAAGGCTGTCTAGATTAAAATTTCAATTGATATGTGTCCAACTCTTTTCCCTTTACCCGCAAACCACGTTGTGTATATGCAATTCACACATGTCTGAATCCAGAAAAGTCATAGAACAATAGTCTTTATAAAAAAGGAGGAAGTTCCACGATTTATTTATAGGCGGAATACTATCATGTTGCTCAGGCCAAGACAAATAAGTCTCTCGTGATCGGACTCTTTCACTAGCCTACCATGATTGGCTGTTAGTAATAGTATCATTCTCCAGGCTGATTCTGTGAAAAACAATTTGAAAACTTTCTCATCAGGGCTAGACGACTAATTGCTCACTCCTCAGGGCTTAAAAGTCTTGCCGACCAGCAAATTCTATTGTTAAATTTGTAACACTCATCCTCCTTATTTTAATTGTTCCTCTGTAGTTTTTCTCATTGCAGTTATACCCCCCCAAAATTGTCTTGGTTAATTTAATCAAGCATTTTGATACAGGTGCTCAATGAATCAGCCTTATATTGTCCACTGGAAACCGCTAGTATGCCCATGCCAATACTGGTTCGAAATTTAAGCTTCTTTCTGCATGTAACACTACTCACAGAAATAGCAACACCATTAGCTTGTCCGTATCTGAATAATTCTAACATATAACGTTATGGCCTTGATTGATCACTTGCCATGTTGGTTTTGTTTTGTTTATATAGTGCAAGCAACTGGTTCGGTACTTCGCACTCATTTTACGTTCATTTTTCTTCCCTGTTCCTCGACGGAGATGAACTAATTCCTCCACTTGGTGTAAAAGTTTATTCTGACTTAATGTGAAAAGACTGTGCTAGATAAATTACAGCAGACTGAGTTAAACTTTGTCTGCGGGATGCGCGGGGGTAGCGATGGCCAAACAAATCAACTGATGTTGAGGGTTTTAGAACTTAGGGTGATGTTCGCTAAATCTTGGGACCTTTGGGGATCAAGATTAATCAAAACTGATGTAAATACATTTGGTTATATCTACCTCTGTAATGATCAGTGGTAGTGGTGAAAAATCCTTCAAACAGAATGTCTCTCATTATCATATATTCCAAATTTTAGACAAGTCAAGCAAATTCGTAAATTATGCAATCACATATGAATCATTTCCTGCATCCATGGCCATTAAATGTAATCAAAAGCCAGCTCTCTAAAGTGCTTTTCTTCGACTTCTGAGATCTCCAGTTTCAGTTTGTAAAACCATTAAAAATGCACTTTCGTGCGGCGGTTTTGATTGCTGCTATTTGTATGAAGCAGTAGACGCAAAAGGTTTAAGAGATCTAGGCCAAAAAACGCCCTAATCAAATACAACACAAAAAAATCTCACATTTTTGTCTTGATCCATATCACGCAAAAATCGCTGACAAATCGCTGTTTTTGATGTTCCCGTCTCACCGACCAGAAGAAGCGGTCGAGCAATATTTACCATTTTCTCCAACAGCCAACCAACACGGACTGTTTCTTTTGTCGGAACCAAGAGTTCGGAAAATTTCTTGCTTCGATCGTGTATGTAGTCCGGTACAAGTTGTTTCCACGGTATCCATACACTGTGATCCGTGTCGAAATAATAGTCGAACAGAGACGGTTGCCCGTTGGGCATCTCCCCGGCTTTGGCCGGGGTCTGAACTGATTCCGCCTCGGCCGGTTCCGGTAAACTGCTCAAGTACTTCACATACGAATCAAATTTCTCTCGTTCTTCTTCCACCAGAGTCCCACCAACACAAAAGTACAAACAGAATAGGAACACTGCCTCAATATGAGCAAATGCAGTCTCCTCAGTGACGTGCAACAGACAGCCGAGCAGACAACAGAATTGGACCAACAGATTCATATCGGTGAGACGAATCACACGACGAAGGCGTTCAACCTGTTTCCCATCTAGCATGCCATGAACTATTCGGTCAATCAGTGGCGGTATGTATTTGGTGTACAACTCTCCCAGAATATCTCGTTCATATTTGGTCTGACGATACTTGATCCATCGTTGCCAATACGGTTCATAGCCCAGGTATTTTGGATCCACAAATACCATGCCACAACGTGAAACAGTAGCCGGCGAAGCATATTGCAAATCACCCACTTCAAACAGCAGTGCACAGTGCGCTTGTAGACGAATTCGTTCTCCGTTGGCCAAAGTAAGTAACCGATTGTCATCCATTACAGAGTTCATATTCTCCACCCAAAGAGCATCAACATCACCGTCAAACAAGATGTATCGTCGTTCCTATCGGAAAATAAGAGAGTGTGGAGGAGTTTCAAATGAAATTAAGCTTTAAATATTTGTAACAGGAACTCGCTGTCGTTGTCTGAACAGATAACAGGAAACGTACACATCTGGCACTTTCGATTGGTTAACTGGTGATGAAACATAAATGATAATCGAGGCAATTACCTTACTATTCTTACTGCTTTTACTGCTCCTCCTCTAGAATTATATACAGAGTACAGGGTGTTCGCTCTGGGATGTTGGTTTCCCTGGGTGCCTATATTCCCATACGGGAAGACGTGTGTCCCGGCCGTTGATGCATCATGCACTTAGCCAGGACAACAGCTGTATACAACTTTACAGACAGACTAATTCAATTGAAATTAGATTTTTCTATAAATATTGATGGATAAACGAGCAAAGTGATTCTTAGGTGGGTTCACTTGATTGTCATGCGGCAATTTTGACAATGGAATAGGCGGAGCGAAATAGCATACGTTTTATTGTTCGTTCTCATCAATTGGCCAAGCAAAGCATAATCTATGGCCACTCAACGCGAGCATGGTCACGTGAGGTCATAGACAATCCGGTCGTATGATCCACGATATCGAGGACCTGTGAGAGAATTCGATTGGTTAAATGAATCATTAACACGTGACCCAAACACGCAAACGAACGCCGCTAGAGCGGTCCGTTGGTCTGAGACGTGTGTAAGCTGGCAATGGTTTCAGAGCAGTGATCAATCCTACCCAACGACACATTTGTCCAACTGTACCGATTGATCGTGGAAACGTCTGTGTCTGTGCGGATCGATTT